GAATAGCATTGTATAAAAACACCAGACCTCCAAATCCTTGTCCCATATAACATTGCCACGACCAATAGTAAGCATTTTCAAGGGCTAAGCTTAAAAATAGTCAAAAGACAATGCTGTTTTTCTGGGATTCAAAAGCTATCCTTGCCCATTAATTTAAAGTCTTTGATTTATTTTTTTTGTGCTTTTCTAAGATTTTTTAAACTTTATGCAAAGCTGTTTTACGTGGAAGAGAAGGTTGATACTATAGGCATGAGATCTACAAATAAAATAAGTTGGTAAATCTAATTGAACAAAGTAAAAATATTGCCGAAATCAGAGGGAATTTTTTTTATCATACATGCTAAATAACCAAGGAGTCGTTCTCATATTTATTTTAGCCATTCTCTGTGTACAGTTATCTGAATTTGTTTGTTTTTCCAAAAAAAAAAAAAAAATACAGTTTGGGATTGTCTTTCAGCCCAGCCTTCATTTTCTCAGCTCAGGGAACAAGCCTCCACCAAAACCTCTCTAGAAGAGGAGTTAAAGGAGGTCTCAAGGTTACTGGAAGAAAAACGGGAGCAGCTGAAAAAGAGCAAAGAACAGGAGAAGTTGCTGGAGCAAGAGATTGAGTCATTCCGACAGGAAGAAAGAAAGAAAGAAAAGATGGTGAGAAGGGGAATCTGGGAAGAGTCAGGGTCGTGAACACAGGGCCAGACATGAGCCCAGCCAGGCCTGGCGGGATGCAGAAGCTGTGGGCACTGAGACCTCTGGAGAAGAGGGAGAGAAGGTGAGAAAGGCAAGCGGGGAGGAGAGAGAAGGTCTGAGGCGCCGCAAGGTTCATGATGGAGCTATGCGTGAGGGAAGGAGGAGTGGACTTCTATCAGAGTCTGTGGATAACTCTTTTCTGGGTTTTTTGTTTTTTTCTTTAATTGTGGAGCAGACAAAAGAGGCTTTTCGAAATTTGGAGGAGGAAAATGAGACTCTCAAAGCACAGTTTAAGCAATGTTCTACACAACTGGATTCCTATCTCAGCCAACAGAGCGCCTCCCAGAAAGTCATCCAAGAGCTGAGTAATGAGGTGAGTAGACAGAAACCCCGAAGAGGCGAGAAACTGGAACCGGGTTCCTTGACCTGAAGTCAGCACCTAGCTCTGCTCCACCACAGAAATGCAAGTAACCGCTAGGCCGTGGGTGTCCTGTGGTACCTGAAGCCTCGCTTCCCTTGAAGTGTAGTGAGTACTCTTCCAGTGCCCAGTTGCTCAGCTAGAGGACTGTTTCTTCCACATGTAGAAGGTCTTATTTTTTAAAAATCTGGTGGCGCTCTCAAACTATCTGGGCTTTGACACCAAGTCCTCCAATGTTGCATTTGAGACCAGAGTTGATTGAACCCATTGTTTGGGGCAGTTTGCTAGAGAACATTTCCAAAAATAATACCAAAGCACAGAAAGGGGGTGTAGGGGGAGATGGTTATTTTTTATTACACAGATAAAAATGACAGGAGTAAATGGCATCTAACACATAGGAGGCACTGTGCTTAGGTTCGGCCACCATTTATTGACTGTCTACTTAAGTCCTTTACGTGCCTTCCATCTGCTTTACGCCCAAAAAGATTTATTAAAAGTATATTTTAAAAAGAGATGGGCCACATTAAAGAAGGCTACAGCCCTGTGGAATTTGGGAGATAAAAAGATAAAAGATAGAGTTCACTCCAAGAGAGGAGCAGGTTCTCAGCAAAGAGGGCTGTACCCTTTGTAATATATATATTCTTATTTCATTTTTCTTGCCTGTTGCTTTGGACAATACCTACAGTATGGTGTTCAACAGTAGCATCATTTTCTTGCTTTTAACGTTAATGGAATCTATCTGTTTCACTGATGTTCCCTGTAATGTGGTGAATAGAATTAATTAATTGATTCTAATGTCAGCCCACCTTTGCATTCCTAGTTTAAGTCCTGACTGTGTAGCATGTATTGCTCTTTTAATACCATACTTAGAATGTTCTAAGAAGTGAAATAAGGCAAGTATGACTGGAGTGTAGTAATCAAGAAGGATGTTGGTATAGGATGATATATTGGCTTGTTATAAGAAATTCTGGGTTTTATTCTAAAAGCAATTGATAGACATTGATGAAATTTCCTCAAAGGAGCAGGGAAGGTAATTTGATCTGATTTAAGTTTTTAAAATATAACTCTGATTAATGTGTGGGAATAAATTGAGGGGGGGTAGGTGTAGAAGTGAGGAAGACAGGAGGCTATTACTATCCAAGTTCAAGTGGTATCAGTGAAGATAGACGTTATCGAATTCAGGATGTGTTTTGGCAGTATAACTGACCAGACTAACTGATGGAATGAATGTGAGCGAAAGTGGGGAATCAAAGATTACTTAGCGAAACTCACCTATAAAACCATCTAGACCTAATGCCTTTGGCAAAGAGAGAGTAGATCTTTATGAAAACTTTTATTCAAATGCCTTGATTCTATAATTTACATATGTCTGTATGATTTTTTTAAATATCTTTCTCTAAGCTAAACCGTTCATGTTAGATAAATTTAAATTATAGCTTCCATTTTAGCTTCTAGCATCCCTGTGATTTTTTTCACTACTCTTAGTTTTAATATCTCACCTCTTTGGTGACATTTCTTGATTCGGCCACCAGTTGTCAAGGGCTCCCTTGGGTGAATCGTAGTTTCTCCAGTGACTCCCCTGTTTTACTGAGCAGACCCCGTTGACTCAGTATTTTTCAGAAGTCTCCAGAAACAATGCACTTTTATTTCCAGAAGATCAAATTATTCTATCTTTAGGATTAGGTTTAGCCCCTGGGCATGTAAATATAGGGTCAGAAATAGTCTAACACTTCACATCTCACTAATTCCTAGGGTCAAAGATATACAAAATTCCATTTAGAAAAATAAACTTCAAGCACTGAGCAGTTACTGAAGAAAGCCCAAAAGAGTATTTATGTGTGTATGGCCACATGGAGAATGCAGGTGTTCTAGAATACCAAAAAACAGAAATTAGGCATAAGAATTTCTAAGGTCTTCTTCCTTCTTCCAGACCTAGAAGTAGATATCTGTCCTATCTTAAACTATATAATAAGATGGCTAATTACTTAGTATATTCATGATTATAACTCACAGCTACAAAGTGATTTGTACCTTACAAAGCCCTTTTTACATACATAATCTCATTTGATCGTCACAAAAATTCTGCGAAACAGTTGAAAGTATCCCAATTTGCAGAAGAGGAAACTGAGACTTAGAGAAATTCAGTAAATGACAGAACCGGGATCTCAACACGTCTTCTAAGTCCAGATTGCAATTCCTCTGAGCTATCATGAATCCTCATTACTAAGTTTAAGACACAGACTTCAGTTTTTAAACACACTTTTGCCAGAACTATGTATTCGGTGCACCTCTCATTCCCAATATTGCCCAATGCGGTATTTCATTCAGTCTAAAAAAAATAAAAAATCACTTAGTATTTATTGAGCACCTATTATGTGCCATGCACTGAGCTACAGGTGATAGGATACAGCAATGAAGAAAGCACACACAGCCCTGCTTTCATTGGTGCATCAAGGCTGGTGAATTCTGTCAGGAACAAAGTGAGTCATAATGCACACAATTGAAAGGCTTTATCATATCTCCCATCCTAGAATTGGATTCCAGATCTTTATCAAAGACTGCAGTCTGTGAAAGGGACTTTTCATGTACTTGACACATCACGGCCCAGTACCTCCAGGCCTCCTTGTATTTGGGGGACATGCTAACTCAAAGGGAAACAGTGGGGAGAGGGGTGCAGAAGAGGCTGGAAAGGCAGCTCTTCCTTTTGCAACAATGAGGTGAAGATGGGGCATTATCACATACTGCTCTATAGGTTAGTGCAAAGAGAATAGAGCCCAGTGATTGTCCATTTCCTGTGGACACAGAGAATGACTCTATAGCTGTGAACCTTGACAGTGATATTCCTCTTCCCTAAAGACAGCCCAACAGAAGGAGGCTTTAGGAAATCTGCAGGCCCAGCTAGACAAGGCTGTGCAGAAAGAGAAGCAGTGTCTCCAGACCATGGTCAGTAAAGAAGCCTATGAGGAATTAGCCCGGAAGTCAGCCGCCTGTCAAGACGACCTGACTCAAGCCCTCGAGAAGGTGGGCCAGGGCTGTTTTGGGGCAAAGAAATGTCCTAGCAGCATGAGAGGAATAGGAGTCAATTTCCTGCACTGCTGGCTGTCACCAAGGCCATCCATGAGGAGGAGGGAGGCCAAGATGGAGGCCAAATCTAACGGGTCTTTCTGCCTGTGAGTGATCTGGGGCAAGATTTTCCCCAAACCTGGATGAGCAGGAAAATTCATGCCCCATCCTTGTGCTGATCATGTCTGGCTGATCAAGTCATAGGACTGGAAAGAAAGGAGACGGGAGGGAATGTCAGGATGCAGAAGACCAGACCATCATTTCCCACCCCTCTTTGGGAGACTAGGAAGGTGACAGGCTGTCTGCGCCACCCTGGGCAGAGGACAGGGAGGGACTGGAACCCTTCTCCATGTGGGGCTCAGCAGAGAGGGCCAAAGGGCTCTGACAGCCACTCTCATCCCCTTGTCTTTACCGGAAGCTCAATCACGCGACCTCAGAGACCAAGAGCCTGCACCGAAGCTTGACACAGGCCCAAGATAGGAAAGTTCATCTGGAAGATGAAATCATGGCTTATGAGGAGAGGATGAAAAAGCTCAACATGGAATTAAAAAAACTCCAGGGTTTCCACCAGCAGAGTGAGCTAGAGGTGAGGAGCAGCCTGGGGCTCAAGCTGCCTTCCAGTTCAGGATCTCCAAGGTCACCTCATACACCCAGAACAATTTAGCACCCTTTAGCTAATGGGTTCCCTCTTTTTGCTTGGCCCTCTAAGCTTCAGGCTGAGGTGGCAACGATCAGAACAGGGTTGCCCTCTGCTGGTCGCTGGAAATAACATACCCCCTATCGAGTGTCCCAAAGCCAAGAAAGGGCCCTGTGGCCTTGCCATGGGTCCTTTGGGGTCAGGACAGCAAGCTGGGGTCTCCTCCTCACTTTGTGCTTCGGAGCAGGTACACGCCTTCGACCAAAAGCTGGAGGAAATGAGCAACCAAGTGCTGCAGTGGCAGAAGCAGCACCAGAGTGACCTCAAGATGCTGGCCGCAAAAGAGGAGCAGCTCAGGGCGTTCCAGGAGGAAATGAACGCCCTGAAAGAGAACCTTCTTGCCGATGAGAAGGAGGTAGGTGCTCCTCTGTTTCTGGTCATTTCCTCCCAGCCCCTCCTAGCCCATCGTACAACCCCCTGGATGCCAGACAGGCGTCAGTGGAGGTGCCTGGGAGCAAGGAAAGGACACCCACTCTATTCACTACAAAGCAAGGTCTGGGTGCTCTAGGCCCACAGCGTCGGTCTCAACCTAACCATCTTCCTGTGGCTTTGTTGATAGAGATATCAAGCAGAACAAGGCCCCATTGCAGAGGAGAGAGAGTGACGTCTCCCTGTCAAGTACATCAGCCACCCCTGACCCCGGACAGTCCCCCTCTAGAGCTCATCCTGACACTTTCACTTTGCCCACTGCAGAGTCGGCTAAGAGACCTCTGAGCATGCCCCATGCCAGCTCCCAGGGAGCCACAGGATATCTTGGGGTGGCCCCAGGGCCTTTTCTCCAATGAGAAAAGAAGGCATCCTTTCCTCAAGATATTTTTTTTCTTCCATCTGTTAAAAAATTAGCTTAACATGTTGCTTATTTAGAACAAGCCACTTTAATGCCTTTGGCCTGAAAATCATCAATTTAAGTGTACAAATCTACTTTGTCTCTACTATAAATGGTGCCTGCTCAGGGGTGTCACCTCCGTGTGGGTGCAACCTGCACTGCTGGAGGTGGCATCTTGCTGTGGCAATTCCAACTCTGGCCTCGGGGTTGGACCGCAGAGTCAGTGTTTCTTCTCCCAGGAAGAGAGAAGGAGGCTGCTTTGGGAATAGGTAGGTGATGGGTCTATGCTCCCACCTCTTACTATCTTGTTTTTTCCTTGCACCAAAGCCTTGCTGCCTGCCCCAGCGGTCAGTGCCCAAAGACACCTGTAGGCTGCACCGAGAGAGTGATCAGATTATGACCAACATTGAGCAATGGGCAAAAGAGCAGAAGTAAGTAAGGAACTAAAATCGAAGGCAGGGTCCCAAGGCCTGGGCTGAACTGGAGACCCACACGTGTGCCAAAGAGCAGTGTCATATGCACACACGCACACACTGCCCTCCTGGGAAGCTGATCCTGTCTCAGCACACACCCAAGGGTTGCGGATAGATGGAAAGGTCACTCTTCAGGCAGGTTCACAAGGCCCTGCTGTCTTAGGATGGTAACAGCTCCACGATAGATGCTTCACTGAGGGTCCAATTTCCTCTTCTCGACCTGGGGTCCAGCTTCAGTGCCTAGACACCTTGAATTCACCTGGGATCACAGTGATTTTGCACAGGAATTGATTATGGAGCATCCTCTTAATTGTCAGGTGCCACAAAGTTTCCAGTTCTGGGGACTAGGGGATGAGCAGAGGTCTGGTGCCCAGCAGAAGCCTTGCAGAGAACACTCGATGTCTCATTCAGCCAGCTTAGTCTTGCTCACAGGAGTCTGCAAACTCTTTTCTCTTGTGGATTTTATTACAGGATTGCCAATGAGAAACTAGGAAACAAGCTCCGTGAACAGGTCAAATATATCGCCAAGCTGACAGGTGAAAAAGAGTAAGTCACCCCACAGCACCCAGGCTGCTGCTTGGGCCTTAAGTAGAAGGATTAGCCAGGGGACAGGGCTGGCTTCATCACCACTGATGTAGGTGAGACCCCAGGAAAGACCTGGACTTTTGAAAGACCCCAAGTCCTATCTGCATCTGTGTGACCTGTGGGATGTCGAAGGCATTGGGGATGCTGACAGGAGTAGACCAGAGAAAATGGCAGAGAGCCGAGGAGTTGAGGGCATGGCAAGGGCCCCACCTGTATGCCCAATGGCACATGGCATGTGGCAGTGACGTGAAGGGCTACAAGGGAAGGGGTGTCTTCAACTCCAGCCAGGTTTATACAGAGTAAAAGAGCTAAGTACATGCCCAGAGAAGAAGTTGAGGATGGATTCTTTATTGGATATCTTTTAGAGAAAAAAAAACCACGAAATTTTTCACTAAGACAAAAACATTTTCTGAAAGGGTTTAAAAGAAAAATTGTTAGACTCTGAGGATAACAGAGAACATCAGGCTTTTTCTTATATTGTGGCAAGTTCCTGTTTCACAAAGAACTCATTCTTGAGTGGGCTTGAGACTATTCAAAGGAAAACCATCTTTGAATAATAATAGCTCCACTAATATTTATTATGTACCCATGAGAGGCACTGTTCTAAGTGCTTTACAGGTATTAACTTATTTAACCTTCATAAGACCTTACGAGTTGGGTACAGTTTTAATCCCCATTTATGGAGAAGGAAAGAGAGACTCAGAGGCTAAATAATTTGCCTGCGGTCTCACAGCCCGTAAGCGGCAGAGCCAGAATTCCAGCCCAAGAAGCCCCAGAGCCCGCTGTCATCGCTGCCCTCAACATTAGTTAGGTGGAAATACGGCCCTTAGTATGAATAGCTGCCATCGACTGAGCCACAGGAGATAATGCTAAGTTTCCTTTGCCCACACCTACATCACAGCCACCATTTCCTCGTCTGTGAAATGGGGGTAAATTACTAGGCCAAGCCCTCAACAGAGCCGGGATCCCAGTTCCCCCAACCTTTCAGCAAAGGGATGAGAAAGGACTTAGGCTTCGGCGTCAGAACCGGGTGAGAGTGTTTCCAAGGCGCAGCCATGAGAAATCGGGGACATGTGATCAGAGTCATTTGTGACAGCCGCTGGCCCTTGCAATCAAACTTCTATCATTTGTCAAACTGGATCTTTATATGACAGATCAGACTCGATTGCTCCATCTAACAGATAAGAAAACAGGGCCAGAGCTGATATGACCCAGTGGTCAGGGGTACTGGTTCTGGGTGCCCCCCAACCCCAGGCCTGGGTTTCTTCCAGGGGACACACATAGGCCTCCATTTCCACAGAACATGTGTGAGAGCAAGCTCTGGGAGGAACCGAACGTCCACGGCCCTCCTTCCCGTGGTGCCTTGATCTGTCCTTTCCGGTGGGAACCCAGGAACAGAAGCAAACCAAACACCCACCTGTCCTTCCCTCTTCTCCCCCAGCCACCTCCACAATGTAATGGTCCATCTGCAGCAGGAAAACAAGAAGCTGAAGACCGAGATAGAGGAGAAGAGGCTGAAAGCCGGGCACCCAAAGTTATGCACCAAAGCCCTGATCTCAAGCAAAACAGAGCCCACACCAAGGGGGAAATTGTGTGGCACCTTGGGCTGGAGGAGCATGACCCAGGACATAAACCAAAGAGCGGACATCACCAAGTTCGTTGGGATGCCCCACTGCTCAGGTATTGCACCATTTGTCTTTTGCTACTTCCTATGTTGTTGTCTTTCTTAGTCCCATGGGTCGAAAAAAATAACAGCCCGATATTATTTTTCAAGAGGTCGCTGGATTAAGAGTTCAAACAGGGAAAAGCTCTTTTGCTTAAGTGCTCTGGACCGGCGAGAACTGTTTCCTTGTCTGTAGACAAGGCTTGTTGTTCTGATCTAAGAATCTGTGCTGATGCTGGAGTGTCTCATGTCTCAGGCCTGTCCCCGAGCCTAACCAGTCCCTCTCAGAAATTGTGGGATGACAGGGGAATAGGTAGAACAGGCAACTTCCTTCTGTAATGTGTTCTGGAAACCCCATAAGAGTGCCCCTGACGCCCGCACAGCCTGGGTCCACAGCCATCTTTTCTGCCTCCTGTAGACTCCATGTTGCCCCAGAGGGAAGAAGTCACACTGCAGCACAGCTGCCGGGCCACAAAGCCAGTCCTTGAGGAATCACCTCATTAATTTCTCCTCAGATCCAGACTGCCATTGCCTACCTGTTCCCTCAGATCCAGACTGCCATTGCCTACCTGTTCCCTCAGGTGCCTGATATTGCTAGAATCAACACCTTGCCCCAAGCATCATTTCCAAATACACATGTTTTTCAGAGGACCGTGAGGTCCCATCCCTCTTTCTTGAACTGGATCAGCTGTTATGGGAACATATCAAGGTCTCAGCCTATTTTGCAAAATGCTAACTTTTTATCGAGTTTTGTCCACTTCCTGCAATGGAGTGAGCTTTGAAACCATACTACCATCTCCAGGCCCATACCCTAAAATAAAGACATGAGCACAGAAGTCTCAGTGAGCTCTCAGCATCCTGCAGACCTCTCTGTCCCCTCAAGCCCCCAGCAAGGTGTTCACCCCCGTTTTCTCTGGATTCTAACTGACGTAGGTCTCTTTCACAATTATAGGAAGGTATAATTCCCAAAGCAAGCTTCCAGATTAGTTTTAAACCAACAAGAGATAATTAGCTCTTTTTTTTATCCTTTCCATCTCTGTCCAGAATTTAAGAAGAAAAAAAAAATCTAAAAACCTTAAAAAGGAAAGTAATCTCAGTAATCCTGAGACCAAAAAGAAAGGAAGAGAAATAAACGATGCATTTTCCTAATGGGGGAGGGAGAGAGGGCCATCTGCTGTCCCCCCCGACCACCACATCCCATTCCTCCTTTTAACAATTTTATTTTTCTCCCCAGCCAACTCGATACAAGTAAAATTATATTATAACAAACTCCAAGGACAGCTAAACTATTTTATTGTGGTCGGATTTTGTTAAACTGTGTACACGTCTAGAATTTCTATGTCTGTCTGTAGGAAATTGAGAGAAATCGCTACTAAGGTAAAGCGAGAAAAAGAAATGAAAGAGCTTGCGTTTCTGGATAGGGGAAAGGAAAAGTGGAGAAACCTACTAGTTGGTAGTGATTCTTAAATCTTCTTTCCCCCTCCCGAACCAAACAAAAGCCAAGAAAAGTCACTGCTAGTAGTGAAATAGGATGCCCCTGCCGGAAGGACAAATTCCAGAGGTGCAGAGTGAGGCGGGGGTGATGGGTACATCGGGTAGTTTCTATTGTGATGAGTGTTGTCTGTTTATGCTCTTTTGACTGTGTTCCCCCATTTGGTTTAGAATAAAGATATATTTTCTAGAGAAAACAAAGACCGAAGTATCTGTCTGGTACTAATGAAACAGCTTCCTTGTTCTAGCCTGTGGCCCATTTATTTAAACGAAAGTTCAGTGTCAATAAAATCCCCAGCACAGTCTACTAAGAAGGCATTTTGTCTCTGTAATTTATAAAAATTTTTCATATATGTTAGTGAAGTGACAATATCTGGATACTTTAAATGTTGTACATTTTTTCAAAGGTGTCTTTCACTTCCTATGGGGTGATTACACCAGAGCCAAGCAGGTAGCAAGTTATGGGGAGCAAAGGGACAGCAGAGCTAGAAAAACCTCAATGTCACCCAGCCAATTGGCCTTCAAGCAGGAGGCCTGATAAAGAGAAATGCAGTTTCTCTAAAGACAGGAGAAAGGGCAGGGAAGCTGGGTGGTGCCTCCCTATAATTCTTCAAGAAATAACCAAAGAAGTCAGTTCCTAAAAAGTAGTTTGAACAGCTGATATTAAAAAAGAAATGGTCTCTGTATGATACTGTAACGATGGACCCATGTCATTATACATTTGCCCAAACCCATAGGACGTGCAACACCAAAACCGACTCCTAATGTAAACCATGGCCTTTGCGGGGCGGGAGGGTTGGGTAACGATGTGTGGGTTCATCTATGGTAACAAACACACCACTCTGGCAGGGGATGTTGATAACGGGGGAGGCCATGCATGTGCAGGGGCATCTGGGAAATCTCTGTGCCTCCTGCTCAATTTTGCTGTGCACCTAACACGGCTCTAAAAGTAATAATTAATAATATAATGATGATGATGGAAAAAAGAAAAATGATTACAAAGCTAGGGGTTAGCCAAGGTGATTATAAAAAAATAAGTGCTTCAGCCACCCAGTGGGAGGACGTCACTCAGCTTCTGATACCTGGAGCCAGTAGAACCCTGTATGATAGACCTTCTACCCGCCCAGAGTATAATTCTTCTCCCCCTCGGCCTGCTTCCTTGCCAAAGGGAAGAGGGTGCTCCCTAGAACCACCAGGGTGTCACAGACACACTTGCCTTTTGAGCCTCCTCAACGAAGCCCAGCTGAGGAGGAAGCTGCCTCTGGTAGACTGGGCCTGGCAAGCAAGCTCTGGGGTCCCCAGAATGAGTCCCCTGTCTCAGCCTGAGACCTTCAACAGCTGAGATTTCTCATGCGTCAAAAGCACCCTGCTACTATCGGCTAGGCATTAAAGGATAGATGCGTGTCACTGAGTACAAGGCAGGGGACCCTGGCAAAGACCTCCATCCAGTTCAATGGCCTCATATTCCCTCGTACCAAGAAGTCCGAAAGCCAGTCTCGGAAATCCATTTCAGGGCTGTTGTCACAGAAGGTTTTTTTTTTTTTTGTATCTCTAGAAAAAGAGTCAGTTATCTTCTAAGGAAAAGACAGTAAGAATCAGAGTATTGAAGCTGGAAGGAAATTTAAGGTGGATCTGAATGGAAAGGATCCGTAATTACTAAAAAAAAAAAAAAAATTGGAGACACGAGTGCAGTCTCTTAGACAGAAGCCCCCAAAACAAAACAGATTCAAGTAGAGTCGCTGGGGGGTGAGTCCCCCTATCTTGTGGCACCCATGTATGCAAAGAACCCTTTGCCAGGTGTTCTTGCTTTTAAACTAGGTTGGATTGGATCCAGGGTTTTGATAACCTCTCTGGCCTCATTTTTCTGATCTAAAGGACCTAAAGGTAAGTTTGTGACCAAACTCACAGCCTGTTAGTAATAAAACCAATCTTTTCCCTGTTCTGTTGCATCCTGAGCCCAAGTCTGTGAATAGATCACTAACCCAGCTTTTTTCTCTCCACAGAGCAGGTAGACACCTTCTCCTAGCCTTCAACCCGGGGCCAAGACAGAAGCCCTCGCAGGCAAGCAGCCAGAAGCCCTCTCTTCACTCCAGAGCCGTGAAAAGTCCGTTTCCACCTGCATGCCCAATAAAGGTGGTTAGAGGTAAAAAGAATGGAAGTAGAGGTGTAGCTGGTGCTGGCTGGCAAAGCCTGGCTTCCAAACTCATCCATAAGATTGAATTAAATTTTAACTTACATCGAGTTATAACAGATGGAAATTGAAATCCCAGGAACAGAGTGAGGAAGGGAGTGGAACTAAGTCAGCAGTGCGAGCAGGTGCCAAGGGGCTCACAGAGCACGTGCCACTATCCAGGGGCTTCAGCGCCCCGGGCCTGTCAGCGGCTCAGCCCCAACACAGAACTTTGTAACCAGCACACCTGGCAGAAGCCCAGCCCTAGGGAATCACAAAATAAGAACCACTGGTGACACAAAGGGCCAAATGCCCAACGTCACCTCAGCAGACTTAAGAGGTTGCTTAACAAAAGACTAGTGATTCCAGCGTAAGATCATCTTTTACATGACAATCAATAAGCAACATTTTACACTATTTTCCATCAATACACAGCCCTTACACATGCAAAGAATAGAAACTCTGCCATTCTGAGCAATAGAGCAGCCAACCCACCCCTGGGAAATGACAGAGGGCACATAGCTGCTCACTTCCCTCCCTTCCCGGAAAAAAAGAACAGTCAGAAATGCAATAATATTTTACAAATAATAAATTTATTTCCAAATCTTGAATTATAACCAAATTACAATTCCCTCTAGGTCTATTCTGCTGCTTTACACAAGAATTTTAAAAAAGCATAGTCATGGTCAAGTCATTTCTATACCAAGCATCCTAGGGACAGTTTATTTGGGTCCGGCCACCTCTCGCAGCTTCTCTGCTGCTCTGCAGCCCGCACCTGCGAGGAACTCCTCCTTCCTCCATGGCAGAGCCTGGCCTCAGCAGGAGCTTCCCCCAGGGGCCGCGATGCACACAGACGAGAGCACACAGATGACAGGGTTTTTGTCAGCAGGCCCGGGGTGCTCCAGTCACCCAATCCCTGGCTCCCATCCACTGCGGGGAGAGCCTCTGCTCACAGCCCAAAGCGAGCTGGTGTGCGGCGAGGCGTCATGGGCTCCCCTTGCTCTTTCCGACCTGGAGTATAGATCTTTGTAGACCTGGAGACACAGAAAGGGGGGGGTCAGGAAGCACACTGCGCTCACTCTAGCCAGGACACACTGCAGGACCGGGAGCCGGGGGCCTTGCTGTTCCTAACTGGTGTGTTGGCTCTTCTCCTCCAGCACACTTCCGCTCCCCCTGACTTCCCCATTTGCGACTGGGAGCAGAATAAAATATCACCTAGTTCTGATATCCACTAAGGCATGTTGTAAGATAGATTACTTAACAACTCCTTTCATATCTCCTAGGTGAGCTGTGGGGGGGTAGCCTTCCATCCACCTCACTAGGCTGCCACCCCAGCTGTCACAGACCCTGGCTGGCCCTTGTCCCCAGTTCCTGGGAGGTAATCTCTAAACCCTTGGACTTTCCTAGGAGATTGGAGTGTCTCTGTGATTCATGGAAGGAGGGTGGGGCGGTCTATGAACGGGGGCAGGGTTTGAGGGATGACTCAGGACTTGGGGCTGCCTGGCCAGAAAAACAAGCCATGTGATTAGAGGGCTGTGCTTTGAGCTCGGCCTCTGTGGAGGGAAGCGGAGCTGGAGACTGAGTCAACACATGGATGCTGATGCAATCTACATGCTGCATATGAAACCCCCGGTAAAACTCTGGGCACTGAAGCTCACCTCAGCTTCCCTCTTGGCAGTACTGTGTGTACTGTCACACATCAGTGTGCCAGAGGCTGAAGTGGCCCTGAGGACAACAGAAGCTTTGCACTCAGGATCCTCCCAGACACCATGCTACGCATCTCTCCCTTTGGCTGGTTCCAATTTGTATCCTTTCACTATAATAAAACTGTAATCAGAAGTACAGCACTTTCCTGAATTCTGTGAGTTGTTCTACCAAATTATCAAACCTGAGGGAGGCCGTGGGGATCCCTAAATCTGTAACAAGTTGGTCAGAAGTGAGGAGTGACCCTGGGTACCCCCCAACTTACACCTGGTCTGAAGTGAGGACTGTGCCCTTCACCTGTGAAGGCTGACCTAACTCCGGACACCATCAAACGCGAAGTCTCAGGCGTTCCTGCTACTCCAGCCCACCTCAGCCCCCAAATACAACAGGAAAAACAGTGACCAGGAGTTACAGATTGATCACCACCCCTTGAAGTGTATCCAGAACTCTTCCATATCTCCACATGTGACTACCGTCAACTTCTGTCACCAGCTCACCTCTACACACTCAACTTCTCTTAAATCATGATGCTGCATCAGGGCTGCTCAGTCCATCAGCCTGGTCCCTGGAGCTGCGCGGGGCAGGCTCCGTCCCAGCCAGAATCCCAAAGCCAAAGCTCACCTGACACTGCCCAGGGGACTGCGCTTCTCCTGCTCCTGCCGCCGGGCTCGCAGCTGCTCCTCGGCCAGTGCCATCTCCTCCTCCATGGCAGAAGCTTCCTCTTTGGCCCGTCGGCGGTTCTCCTAGAAAAGGGAGACACAGGTCTTAGAGGCCACTGGGGACTAGCAGGTGAGAAGGCCTTATCTGCACCCACCTCCCCGCTGCAAGCCAGGTGCTGTGTAGACCACGCCAGCTCCCAGAGGCAGGGCCATGTGGCTCACTGCCCCAGCACCAAGGCCAGGGCCTGCTTTCTCACAGATTTAGGACAGACATTGGAGGATTCGGCCCTAACCCTGTCGTGCCTCAGCACTCCCTTCACTTCAGTAAATACTTAACATTTTCTTATCAAATTCACAACTATGCCAGGAAGTACAGAAAACAGGAAAGACATCACATCTGGACTGAAAGCTCAGACATAAGATGTGAGGAGGCCTGGTGTGAGGACTATGCTGAGGTGGGGGGAAGCAAAAGTCCCACAACATTCTGCAATACTAAATAACGGATCTAGACAGTGACCATCGAGACACTAAGACCGTGAGAAGATGGAGTAGGAAGTAGAGAATTTTATAATGGAGGGAACCACTGGGCATATTCGGCAACATCAGAAATGGGACCACAAGATTTTATGTGCTCCTGACAGAATCAGAAAGGAAGTTCACAGCACCATATGCATTTGTGCACTCGAGCCCAAACAGCTGCACCTGAATCTAATCAAGGCTTTAGATGAATTACTAGTTCACAGTAAGTACAGGGGATTGAGGTACTTGTTAAACAACAGCTTGAGAAAGCAATCTGCCCAATACAGAACATGGAACAGTTTACAAGATAAATGACCTGGTTTCTCTAATCACTGCCATAAAAAGCGTGAGGCAAAGCCTGTGTTAAAATAAAAGACTTAATACACATAACAACAAATTTCAATGTTTGGATCCTAATTCAAGCGTATCAATTATAAAGAATTATCTTTTGAGATAAAAGAAGAAATCTAAATAAGGACTGGAGATTTCGATGACATTAAGGATTAATACTGTTGAGTAATAACGGCGTAAGTCCTTGTAGAGATGCACACTCAAGTCTTTATGGTGGTAACGTCTGAGACATGCTTTAAAATATTCTAGGAAAAAAAACAGATGTATATGGAGGGAATAGAAGTAAGTGAAAACGAAACTAGCAGAATATTTATAATTATGGAGGCTAGATGATGAATTCATGGTGACTTGTTATAATTTTTTCAACTTTTATGAATATTTGGACTTTTCAAAAATATTTTTTTAAAAAAAGGCTTGGCAGACCAAGCAACTGGAGTGGATGGAGGGAAACCAGACAGACCAGCCCTGGCTAGATCACAGTCATTATGTTTGACAGAGAAGTAGAAAAATAGGGGTCAGGATGACAGTCTTCAAAACCAGGCTGAGGGGCAAATGGATCCCATGAGCAAAGAGAACCCCATGGGAAGCATACGACCTTTACCTGCCGAGACTTTCCTGCCTGTTTCACGCTGTAGAACATGGGGCCAAGCTCGGCTAGCCACTCTCCGTCCACAGCAGTCACACACTGCATGTACTCCTGCAAGCAGAAAGGACACAAAAAGGTAGTCACAGAAGGGCCAATTCTTCCACTGTCCCTTCCAGAGTGGTTCCACAACTAGGAGCTGTGTGGGAAGGACCCTACCCCACAGCCCCGTGAGGCTGAAAAAGGCAGGGAGAAGCCTTGGACACTGAAATTTTAATCCCTTCTCCCATCCTTAAGAAAACATTCCCTAGAATCCAAGAGAAAAGGCCCAGGCTCTCAGAAAACCCTTCTAATGACTCCAAAAGAGGTTGCTTCTCCCAGGCAGCAAATCAGAAACAATCCTGCTGGCACAGCCGAGACCATATACTTTAAAGGTAAACTCCGTGTACGTTTCTCCAAACACCCAACTGAAAGCCATCCTTAACTCCCCTCAAAGCAAGGTATGTGGTCTCAAGCCTCCCAAGCTCACAGCTTATCCCAAAAGGCAGTGAAGGTGGGTCTATGTCATGCAAGCTGCCTCAGAAGACTCACCTTGGTGGTCATGACCAACTCATGATACACTATGTAGTCTGGGGTGTAGCCCATTCCAAAGAGGGAGCTGGTAGGGTGCAAGTGGCAGGGCATCCCTGTCCGGATGTTCACATACTCGCCAATACCCTAAGGAAGAGACACAACAGGCGGCCACATCAGGAAAACACTGCCCATTTGGGCAGCTGCCCTGTCTCTTCATACTGTCTTGACACATGCTTGTGAGGGAAGCCCATATCTGCAGAACTGCATAGTGAGAAAGAAGGAACTTTGCTGTTGTTGAAACATCAAGCCAGGAAAGGGCCACAGCTCCCACAGGCTTACCTTGAGCTTGGCTGCCTGATGGAAATAGGCAGCACAGATACACTTTCTGACGATGTCCCAGTCGGTGCCACATGAGGCCAGACTCATCCGCTGCTGCACCATGATGTCCTTGAGCTGAGCCCGCACCT